TGATGTTGACACGCCTCGCCAGGAGTTTGAGAGTGCCAATCCATCTTTGAATTTCTGAATGGAAAACACCTCTGAAGGGCAAGGAAAGACTTGCAGCTCCACAAACCCACTAGTATGGACAGTGGAGTACTAGACTTGGTGGATCAGGTTCTTTGATTGCAAGTCCCATATCTCCATGTCAATTCGTGACTGCAAATGTATTCCTGAAGTGAGCAGCCTGCTTGCAGGGAATGTTTTGCACAGTTCAGCAAGACTTCTCTAATGGCTAAAAGTACACCAGTCGGGTCTACACCTGATGCTACACTGCTCTTTCCTCGATACCATTGGACTGTCCCATGCAGGCACAGACTTCCTGCAGACCTGGTGCCAATATGACTTCCGCTGCAAACTGGAAAAAGTAATATAAAGCACCTGTCCCTTGTCCAGATGAATAAATGTCATGAGCATTTTGCCAGACTCTGACACTGGGGAAACTGCACAGCACTGTGGGACGCAGCACTGGGAGCTTTAATTAGTGAGCCGTGCTAATTACAAGCATCCGTGCATCAGCTTCCCCATGCTGAAAAAACGGCAGCAGGGTGCTTTGAACTTTAGTTCGCTCATCAAACATGTTTTATTTCAAAGCACCCTGCCACCCATTTTTTTAGTGCGGAGACGCACGGGGACGCTGATACACGTGACGTGGAAGGCTCCTGGAGAGCATCAATTCCTGTGCTCTGGCAGACTCGATTAATCAAGTCTGCTTTGATGCACTGGATTTCCAGGTTCCCCGCATGTCTATAGGAGTCCAGTGTTACTAGAAGCAGGCACTTGGGTCATAAACATAGAAGACTTTTCCCATTACCACCTCTAAAGCCGATCCCTTCTCCCCATGGTCGATATTTGCAGAAGAACCCCACAGAGACCATGAGTGCTGGATGAACAGTGCAGCTGAGCAGGACACACGACCTGGCCCAGGGTGGAGTGGACAGGAGGTAGGAGACCCAGACGCCTTCCTGGCTCCATCACTGACCTGCTGTCTGACCTTTGACAAGGTCAGTGTTGTCTTGCACCTTTTGTCTAGTCCATGTTGATCCGAACCCAGTGGATATGACCCAGTCTGATCATCACCCTCATATTTATATCATCACCGCCTTTAGTCATCACCCATTACTCGTCTGCAACTATCCCTTGTGCCATACTTCTTAATCGCCTGCCTCGCCACTTCTCACGTAGTCAAGAATTAGGGAAGCCAACCAGATTTAATATGTCCTTGGAAGCTAACATTGTCACCGTTTCCTCTTCCAGTGGCTTTCCGTTACATCCCAGCAGAAGCTGTTTGCACTCTCCAGGGAAAAAAAGTACCCATTCATCAACATCAAATGCCAGGTGCACACAGAACAACTGCTGGACTCCATAAGAGACTGAGTCTGTCTGTGTGGACTAAATATCACATTCGTGTGCTTTTTGGAGACTGCAAAGTGATCACTAGATAAGCACCAAATAACACCACATCGTATCACTGAGATCACCCATTGCCCCCACTTCCAACTCCCTCACATTAGAGAGCCCGAATCTCTGTGTTATTTAAAAGCGAACTTCTGTACGTGTTTTGCAGCAGTCTCTTTAGGCTGCTCACCAGGTTCTTTATTCTTTCATTTCCCCTGTTGTAAAACAGTCAGGTTGGGTATTTTCTCTAAAATAATGTATGCATGAGTTAGCTCAAAGGCAGAACACAGCAAGCACTCTTGTGAAAACTAGATATTATTAGTGGAGTGCCTTTTGGCAAAGCTTTAAAATAATTAGGTTTGAAAGTAAATACACTTGATATAGTAAGGGAGCTGGGTGCTCAGGAGAGATCCCTGAAATACATAAGATGACTAGGCAGCATCTGAGATGGTGCAAGGCAAAGGGATGAGAAAAAGATACAGAATATTTTAACTCTTTCTTTCATTTTAATTTTCATTTTTTAACGCAGCTGCTAGATTGGGATCCCACTGATTTCACAGCTCAAAGAAATTATCGTTTTGTCTCTAATTTTGTCTTTTATACAGCAATAAAAGACAAACACATATAGACATAGCTATGTGATGGCTGGCTTTATTTACTAGGTTACGGTGAAGAGAAGAATATGTACAGTAAGAAATTAAATTTCATATGGCTTGGAAGTCTGCTCCAGACCAGGTATGTGGAAGTTCAATCTGAACCACCTGGATCTGCAAAACTGGTCTAGAAATCTAACAGGAAGCCAGTCTCCTGACAGGTTTACATGATTTTCTGCTAGCAGAAACCATGCAAAGACCCAAATCTTGCATGGCTTACTTCACATCCAAGCTCCCCAGCTCCACATAAACTCAACGGGACAGAAAGCATCTTTATCCTTACATGCATGCATTTTTGTTCTACAGCTTAGGAAAAAGAATGATTCAGGATTCAGTGGAAGTTCGGGGATGGGAGCAGCCTGCTTTCTACTTCAGACCGTTTTATTTGTATCCTCAAAAAACTTGACTAAAAAAAGTGTTTCCTAAAAAGTCATGAGGCTAGAGGTACTGCATTTTGTACAGCAAACTTATAAAGAACAGAAAGAGGATGAAGGATGCTGACGAATTTTGTTGGCTTTAGCTTCCTGAACATACTGGGCATTTATACATGTGCTCCAGGAGCTGGGGGCGCTTAATTAGAGCGGCTCTCCAAAAGCCACTCTAACTAAAGCGCCCAGAGTGTCTTGCATATCAGCATCCCAACACTTAAAAATTGTGGCGGGGGTGCTTTAACTAACTTTAGTTCAACAAGCATTAATTAAAGCAGCCCCACTGCCATTTTTAAGTGCACAAGATGCTGGAGGCTGCTGGAGTGCAGTGATTACCACATTCCAGGAAACTTGATTAATTGAGCCTGCCCCGACACGCTATAAGAAGCAGCCTCACTGCTCATGTACAAATGCCCATTTTGCCCTCCTGGAGTTTCCTTAAGTCTTAGTTTGCCTTTCTAACAGCCACCTACAGTGATAGTCTCCTCTTGCCATAGGCTGCTCGCCAGCCATAGGAGAATAGGAGCAGAGTTGCCAACCCAAGACAATTTTGTTGTTTTACTGACAATCTGCAAACTTTTTACTGACAACAAAAACTTTAAAAATTGATATTTTATTTTTACAGCCACCTACAGTGACAGTGTCCTCTGGCCATAGGCGGAACAGCAGCAGATAGCTTTCTCCTTCCAGATAAGAGCACTAAGCAGGAAAACAGGCAGCAGCACAGTCATAAAGGTGCCTTGCCGTACCTGTGAAGCAGGCAAGTGGAACGGACTCCAAAGGTCAGACGTCACCACAGCTAAGTTGTTAGACAGTAATGTTAAATTAAAGAGCCCAAGAATTAAGCCCAGCGGTAGGCCCTGTTTATAACAGTGTCCCACTCTCTCACACAGAGGACTGGATTCATTTCCTACTTTTCAAGAACCTAAATTGGGAGAGGCATTCTGCTGCTATTAGGAAATGAGCAAACCTCAGCGGAAAAAGAATAAGACATTCCCCAGGACCTGACTCCCTATCTAGGCATTTATAATGCTCTCCGGGAATGTCATGGAAGTACAGAAAGAGGGCAGTGGTTGGCTAGCCACAAGGAATATATCTGCTGGCATGTTGGGAAATAAACAATTACCCACCCAACCACATGCCTGTCCATTAGGATTGCCCATTCTTCCACTTTCATGAGCAATATCTGCATTGCTCATATGATACCTATAAGCCCTGCTCTCAGAATATCAGATGTCTGGTTGTGATGAGATTGTAAATACTAGGTCCTGGGAGGGAAATGAAGCAGAGGCCACTTTGTAAAAGTGTAAGTTTCTACTGCTTGAACTATGGGGCCAAGATGATTATACTGAAGGTAGCAGCACGCACAGGCTTCTTAGTCTAGACATCACACAAGGGACCAAGAAAGATACTCGGACTGGAGCAGAGGCTTTTTTGTACAGCAGTTAGAACAACCAGGTCCTGGTCCGTGACTGGGTTTCACTGAAATGTCTACACTATGGGCACCTATACACGTGCTCTGATGCATTCTGATTAGAACGCATCCGAGCAGACTCGATTAATTAAGTTGAGCTTTAGTTAAAGCACCCCTGCTGCTATTCTGAAATGCAGGGTGCTGAATACATGAGATGCTCTGACATTTTAATTACAGTGGAGAGCTACTCTAATTGAAATGTCTCCCCCCCGGAGCACATGCAAAAATGGCCTAGGGCAACAGAGCACTCAGTCATGCCAGGAAGACATATACTCCACCCACGTGCCCCCATCCAGCATGTCAACCTCAGAAATGGAGTGGTGAAGATGACCCTTGGGGTACCAGGATCGAGACCTGACTTTCTGATATGCTCAGTTAGCACCTGCTTACCACCTCCTTTCCTGTGAGGACGTGTGTGGAGCAGGAATAGGGGGAGGGAGGGCAGAGCTTATTTTCTCAGCATCACAGCCCTGTTGTCTGCTGTGACAGCAGATAGATAGCGCTTGGCTCCATGACACAGCTCCTTTGTCACTGAGTTATAACAATAGCTTTAGCTTATGCATCCCCAGAAAACTTCAGGACCTTCCCAGCTCTTTGTAGCAGGTTTTCTAGAATACAAAATTAACCACTTGAGTCAAGGTGTTTTTGAAGCATTCAGGGAGGGAAGCAATCCAAAAAAGCACTTTCCCTAACAAGGTTTCTATGCTCTTGGGCCAGTTCAACAGAGGTATGTAGGAGCCGAGCCCAACTCCCACTGAAATCAATCTGAGCAAGATAAGACATCTGATTTCCTTTGTGGGACTTAATAGTTGCCCAGGCTTCCCAATGCTCTTTACATTAGGGAGGTAGATCAATATACTAAATGTAGACAGAGATTACATGCCTTGTCCTATATCATGAACCAGGACACGTTGTACAGGGTTTTGTGGACAGTGGATTTTAGCCTCTATAGGGCAATCACTTCCAGCACTAAAATGTACCCGGGACACAGCTCAGTTATAATATGAAGGTACTTACCATTGGTGCTCCACGATGACCAATGATGGCAGGCTTTGGTCCCAAGTCCTTCTTCTCCATTATACAAGGGGAAGAGATAGTGAGTGGAACGAGGTAAAGTGCAACTACGACTGCAAAGTATGCAGTGAATGTCAGCATCTGAGAAGCTGAACACAAAACAAATACAGCAGTGAAAATACTAGTCTGGGACAAATCCCTCAAGGAACGTGAATTCAAAGACATTATACTTCTGTTTCCAACAGAACAGACCCTCATTAACAATCCTCTCCAGCTACAAGGACTAGTAATGCTTTGTATTTAGCCAGAAGGTAGGCCAAGTTAGCACCTCAGAGTGAGTCGTTCAGAGGCATAAGTTTTCATAGGCAGCTGCCTACTTCATCAAGTTGGCTTGATGTTGCAAGCCCTAAACTTCTGTGAATATGTGAAAGCTCATGCCTCTGAACGCATCTCTAAGGTGCCACTCTGCCTTGCCTTCTGCCTGACTTTGGAAGAACACGGCTACCTACCTTTTTATATTCAGCAAGTTATGCATCCCAAAATGATCAACATACTTCGTAAGCTAGTAACAGCATCGCATACTCTATTTCACAGATGGAAGATTAACTTAAAAGGTATAACAACGAAAGTATACAGTATTATGCATACACTTATAAATAAATGTATAAGGTGCCACTCTGCCCTGCTTAATGTACAGATTTAAATGACTGCTGAAGGTCAGTGAGGGAGCCAGAAACACCGTCCGGTGATACTGATTTCCAGTTTGTTTGCATAGGGTAAGGAGAACAGCAAAACCACCAGGACTAACACACCCCTTTGGAAATGCTGCACCACTATATCTTTGCCTCCAAATCACTCCAACTAACCCGCTGCATACCTGCAACGTAGAAACACTTGTATGACTGTAGCTTCATTTGGAAACTCACTGGCAGAAACCAAACCAACATGAGCAAGAGTAAGCCAGCTTGACTGCACCTACGTTATCAGTTTAGACCAGTTTTAAATCCATTTTTTAAACCCATGCAACTTTCAGATTGGAAACCAGGTCTTGGTAACTCCTTCTGGGGAGTTTGTGCTACAGAGACTGATGCTTTCCCTGTACAGCATCCACTTCTGCTGCTGTCAGAGACAGGCCTATTTGGCACTTTAGGGGATCGTAGACCAAGCAGAACTAGAAGCCTCCCTCAAAAACAGGAGGCTGCTGTGGAAGTGGCAACCAATTCCTTGGGGCAACTAAAAACATAACAGGGACAGAAGTGGAGGCCAAAGGTTTATAAGTAGTGCACCAAGTGGGGGGCATCAAACAGAGCACATCGGATAGTGCTCACCAGCCCTCGAACAGGTCCAAGGAGCCATTGGACACTCCCCAGTGAAACTCTACCCAGAGATGTGATTGTACCACGGAAAGGCAAGCAGCCCAACAGCCCCCAGAGGTCCTCCCAGCCAGAGTCTCCTTGCTGGTGAGACACATCAATAGAGTGGCTAGGGCCAGGAGGTCCCAGGCCTTGCAGTCAGAGACAGGATACTGGGCTAGATGGACCACTGGTCTAACCCAGCATGGTACTTCTTATGTTCTTATGTTCTCCAGAACATTTCTACGTAATCAATTCTGATAACAGATGCAATGAAAGGACTTCTGGGTGGGATGAGAATAGGGCGGGGGGATCCTTCAGGCTGCAAAGAGCCTTAGGATGAAGGAGTACGATTTGGATGTGGAAGGGGGCATCTGTATTGACTTGCAGCACGATATCCTAGTTCACATGTAGTGGTTGAATTAGACCCACTGTAGAGCAGACACATCGATGTTAGATCACTGTTCATTTCTACTACTTGCTCTCAAGTGATACAAACCTTTTGGTTGAGGGCAATGTTCTTCATACATGCTCCCTAACCAATAAACCCCTTTAGACACACAATGCCTTTAGAATTTCACCCCAACTTCAGAAAGCCCAAAGCTTGGCCCATGGACTAGGCCGTATGTGTCCGAACTCCACAAAGCAACCCCAATGTCACTCTGGGATGCTGTCCTGCGGACAGCCAATATCATTTGTGGAAACTAATGATAGTTAAAGGGTCAAAGTCCACATCTGCTTGGCCTCCTCTGGATTTGTGAATTGCCTGGACTTTAGTGTCCAATGCTGACGACCCTCAACAGCAGCAATAGCCATGCAAAGCAGGTTATTAAAAGCATTGATGGAAAAGAGCGAGAACTATACATAATAAAAGTACTTTGGGCTTCTGCAGGGTTTCCCCATGAATGATCTCAAACTAGACTATTACTAGAGATATGGAGACAAAGATGAGGCAAGAAATATGGAGACAAAGATTAAGACTTGCCCCTGATTACTTAACAGATCCAGTGTTGCCAACCTCAAATGTTCAAACGTCAGAAGTCAGGGCCCAAAATATCCTAAGTGTGGCTCAAGGATCCACTCGTATAAGGTTTTCAAGCTTCTCTCCCCAATCCTGAGGGCTAGGAACTTAATTTCACCTTTAATTAACAATTGACGTAATACATGATTCCAGGAACTGGGACTTTACATCCTGTGAAACGTGTAAGATGGTGAGATTTGGAACAGACCCTGGATCCCATGACTACCAGATTTGTGCTTCAGCCCAACCGGCCTTCCCACCATGTCAAATATCTAAGATGGGAATCTTTCAGCTGTGCTGAAAGCCAGCATAGAGCTACTCTGAGCTCATTAACAAATTACTCGAGTGAGGAAAGACAACAGATGCCTTTGAACTGGGCGAGCTACTAACCATCTCTTGAACCCAAAAATAATCAACACAGCTGCTTCTTGGTGCAAAACGGCTAAAGCAGAGAGACACTGGAGACCTGGTTACAGTCAAGGAGTCAAGTGGCCTTGGATAAGGCAGAGGGAGCGGTTTCCTAGGAACAGCCACAAAAACAACACGTCTAAAAAGGAATGACTGTAAATGCCCGGGCATTACCTTAAGTTATGAGCTACACTTGCTTCTACCATTTAATAATCTTGTTTGAGCATGACCATGATAATCAACAAGTCAGACCAGGACATGCATATCAACTGATTGCTCTCCCAAGGAGAACAATGCAGTCTTGGGCTCCTGTCTCTCCCGATCACTCAGGATGCAAGTAAACTGCATGCAACTTTTAGATTATAAGCAAATACCAATTTAATGTTCAGCATCATAAATTCACAATGCCCTTGAGCTCAGCAGCATTGGTGGGGAAACCACTAGTTTTTCCAACTTGCTTTGGAAAGTGACCTTGAACTGCACCACTACTTTTTCCCCTTGGAAGCCTCTCTCACCCAAGCACATATACACTCGGATGTCATCAAACTTTTAACAGTCGAGTTGTCATCAATCCAGAAGTATTGTGCTGGAAATATGAAGGGGCCTTTGTCTTCCTCTTCCATTACACGATGACAGATTGAAGTGATACAGCTTGGCAGGCCAGATCGTACGAAAGCACCAAATGAAACATGTAGCAGCACAGATTACGATCACGGACGTGCATCCAAAAGGTCAATGTCGTCCAACAAGAGATCACAGGATGCGCACCATTGTAGAAGGGGTCTGATGACTAACCCCAACATTAGGCACAGAAGCTGGGACATTAAGATCATTTCCAAGAATCCCATAAGCTTCTTTAGAAATCATGCTCATTATCCCCACAAAGCAAAAATGGAGGTAATTTGAAATAATTTCTTGCCTTTTGATGGCAAGTACTGTGTCACCGCACTCCCTCCTGACATAGGGTGTTTTAACTGTGGTAGAAAAGTCCTATTAACTCAGATGCAGCTAAGGAGACAAAGGCAGAGATCTGGCTTTTGTAACAAAATGTGCCAGGCATATAGGAACATGTTGTAGTCTATTCTGATGCACGCTGCTAGACATCAGTCTGGTTGGAGACTGAGGAAGAATTGAAGCTATGGTTGAGTTAAACCAGAAAGGGTCTAGTGACAGTAAATAATAGAAATGACTGGACTATATATATTTATACTTTATATTAAGTCACAGCAAGTCTTACTGGTGCAGAAATGAAATAAAATCAGGGATGGTACAAACAGCTTTGTCCTCTCAATGGCCAAAACTAGCATGCTCAAGAAAGGTGTGAGCATAAAAGCATTGTGGCTGTTGGATGGCCTAGACCAGAGGTGGGCAATTATTTTGGA